AACTCTATATATCTTTCAGTATTTACATCTTTCTCTCTCCCCCCCTCCTTTATTCACGGTATATTCATTCTCTTCCTTTTTCGTTTTCTTTATTCATGTTCTCTCAGACATATCTTTGTTCTCTTGCCTTCTCCCCGCTCTTTATCTCCTTATAAGGCTTTCTCATGTGCTCAAGAAGCCAATATGGCGTCGATAATTTTAAGGCGTCCGTTTTCTCTGAATGTCTTTGTCTTCGTTTTCTGTTGATATGATTACCTATGTTTTCCAGCGAAGTAACTGCCTTAGACTTCACGATATATACATTTAATTCGAATACTTAGAATCAATAACGTTTTCTTGATATAGGTGAACTGGTTCAACTTAATTCTGGATTTAATACCTTGGCAGATATTAATTACATCAATTCTGTAGGATTATAAAACGTAGAAAATCAATAAAATGAAAACCAAGACTTTTTGGATAAGGAAGAATTTCTCCTAAAAAAGAACAAGAACAAAGGCTGAGCCGAGTAAAAAAAATATATTTTGTATGTTCTCTAATTCCGTTATATGATATGATCATTCTTACTGTTTCTCATAACGCATCGCTAAAAGTAAATATATACAATCAGATAAAAATATAGCTGTAGAAATATAGATATCTTGAGAAAGAGAAAAAAATAAAGAGAAAGACAAAGAGAAAAGAGAGAAAGATATACAATTGCCCCTTTCATACTGAACCGTATACCAAGCAACAAAAAAAAAAAAAAAACAACAACAACAACAACAACAACTTTAACAGTATCTGCAAGGATCAGTATTCTTGGGAAACCTCAAATACGTCACATTTCCCAGAATCCATTACCATATTTAGCAAAGGACTCCATATATTTTCCTAGTGTGACTCTTTCATTCGAGCGGAATTACCCACCGCTGATATTTTTCCTGGGAAGCAAGATGGAATAAAAAAAAGAGATAAAGGCCTATAAAACGAGGATGTTGCTTGGGTTCCGACATCAGTCTCTCTTCGTCTGCGGTTCGGTGTCTAAGCGACCTCTCTCGTAGGTACTTTTATCTTATTTACTGGTATATTTATTTATTCGTTCATTTATTTATTTATTTGTATTTATTTTCTGATCCAAAGGTTGATGTAGAAGCGTTTGGTTATTAGAACCAAATGAAGGTTTTCTGTTGCTGTCGTAGTATATAATTACGGGATTACTGTATATGACTTTTGATGTAATTTTTTTCTCAGTCAACAACATAATATTTATTCCAAAACTCGACAAGAACTAACAAACCCACAGACAACCCAACACCCTCAACAACCGTTCTAAATAACATAACAACCGTTCTAAATAACAGTCATTGGCATCAACCCGAACAACCAATCACACCAACAACCACCCTAATCCTTTCTCTCTCCCTTCCAGATTGGACGAAAACCTGACCACTTCGCGAGGCAGTCGATTGGCCAATTGCGGTAACAAACTCGAGCTCCGGGTCCTTTCGCAGAGATATAACGTCCCTTGAGGTAATTATTACGTTTTTTTCTCGTTCTTTTCGTTCTTTCCTGCAGTGCGAAAAGGGTAGAGAAGTGTTGATTGATTTGCCATTGTTTGGTATTGTATATGTATTGTAGCGAATGGTAATGCTCTTATAGTTATTATTTTTGTTATAGTCATCATTATTATTACCATTATCATCAACAATACTATTAGCATAATCATCATTATTATTATTCTCATTATCATCAACAATATTATTCTCATTAATACCATTCGTTCTACGCGTTGATCACGGATCTAAAACCACCCTCCGTTTCCTTCCTTGCAGAGCGTGAAAGGCAGTTGCCAGCGGAACTCTACGGATACTCAACGCCCTCAGTCGTCTGTTCAGATCGAGAGAATCAACGGGAGTGAAATCCTGTAAAGAGAAGACAAAGCGTTGCGGAAAAAAAACTCCATATTTTCTCATTTGACGATCGTAAAAACCGTTTGAAAACAGATAAACAGAGTGACGTTATTTGTTTGGAGTGATTTCTATAAAGTCTGTTTGCGTCTCAGTAAAAAACATCTTGTGATTTCTGTTGCACACGCAAGTTATACTTGAATTTACATATCGTTTACCTGAGTGAGCCAGAAGAAGAAGCAAACAGTCAAGATGGTCCAGGAACACACCTACTCCGCCAACACCTACGTTGATGACGCCCAGGCCAGGTGAGTTAATATTTATTTTCTTCTTTCTTAACGTACAGATATACCTTTCTAAATACCCCCCCCCCATAAAAAATCAATTCCTTTGCATTGAATAAAGATCAAATCCAAACAAATACAAAAAAATCTAAAGTCCCCCCTTCTCTTTCCCGAAGAACGAACCGAAAACGAAAATCAAAACAAACCCCCACAAAAAGACAAAAGACTAACGCTCCCGTTTTCTTTCCTTCCAGACGCTCGACGTACAAGGCCATGCAGATGGGCACTTACAACAACAACCCCCAGGGGAACGCGGCCTCCACAAGGACCAAAGCTAAGAAGGCCAATCCCCAGGTCGATGTGTGGGGCCCTGTGTTCAAGAATAAGGAGCATTTCGTGAACATGCATCTGTGCTAAAGGATGTTCAAAGAGGAGAAGGAGGAGGAGGAAGGAGTTGGAAGGATAGGAGGATGGAGACGAGGAGGAGAAGGAGGAGGAGGAAGTTGGAAGAGGAGGAGAAGGGGATGTAGTATGTTTAAATAAATTGTTCGCCATGTTTGCATTGGCTAATTTATTCTAATTGTTCACAAATACTAGCAATTCATTCATGTTCATTGTTCCTTCGTGATGAACATTCACGGGGAATTCATTATGTGGGTATAGATGTTCAATTAACAATATTTTATGAACAGAGAGAGAGAGAGAGAGAGAGAGAGAGAGAGAGAGAGAGAGAGAGAGAGAGAGAGAGAGAGAGAGAGAGAGAGAGAGAGAGAGAGAGAGAGAGAGAGATCATCATGTGTAATCACATCATTTTTATTAATAAAGAGCTTGATCTTTCAAAATGTTTATGTCAAACCTGCCATATACACACAAGTGTACTTATCTATCTGAATGGAGTTAAGAATAAAAAATAACAGTATAAACAAGTATAACACGAGGTAAAAAAAAATGCTGAATAATTTTCTAGCATTGCCAGTCAAATAAAAACATTGATACCGTAATAAAAGTAAGAAAATGAGGAAGACAGAAGAAAACGAAGAACCCGACGACACAAGCAGGATAAGATAATGACAATAAGAAATAAACAGTGAACACTATTTTGTTATCATTTGCTTTGTGATCTCAAGGTTGGAAACATACTACTGTAACATATAAAGAAATTTTCATAATCAATTCACTTCATCAGTATTTTTATTTAATCACTACCGTTATTATTATAATTGTCTTGTTTCAAATCATCCCGTGAACTACTGTCTTGAGCAAATCTACAAAATATTTAATACATACGGTATACTTACAGGTTTCCCACTCGTACTATTGATCATTTTGCACTATTTAAGACTACATTCTTCCTTTTTCGTATAAAAACATCAATAATTCCAAAAGAAAATCATATACACTCTTCTGGAAATAATCTAAAAATGAGTTTAGTCACTATAAAATAACGATTAGTTATAGTTAAATTATTCTGGGTCAAACTATTTCATAGAACATCAAATAATTACACTTGGGATTCAATATCTCTCACTTCCTTAAGATATCTGGAAGGAGGAGAAGGAGGATAAGACGATTGTTGTAAAAAGAAAAAAGAGGGAGGAAGAGGGAACCTAAAAAGAGGGGAAACTTATAAGATATGGTCTTAAAGACACTTGCATACATAAGTATACACATATGTAGTTTAAATGTAGACACACACACACACACATACACATTTACGTGTATCTTACAGCCCTTTGTCATGGGTTAAGCCTTGTTAGATAATGGATATCCGGGATAAATCATGAAGGTGACTGTGGATGTCATATCGAAGGCGGTCCTCATGACATGATGGGGGAGGAAGCTACGGTGCAGGTCGATTCGCTTTTCTCGGAGTCCAAATTCTCTCTCTCCGATATGCAAATTTATGTAGATGCCACAAGATAGACTGTACCTAGCTGAGAAGTCGATTTTGCTCTGGCTTCCTTTTCCTGAAGATGTCGGCGATCCCCTTTCCCGAGGGCGGTGGCGAGCGGGGCGACGGGGACTCCAGACGCCCATTCATCCCCCTGGTGTGGAATGATCAGACTCCGGCGGCTTCTTATTGGGTTTGATCTTCCTCTTCTTTTCCTGAAGTGTCGCGAGAGGCAAGCTGCAGGGTAACTACGCCGACTTTTTATATTTTCTTTCTGTTACTGGCAGGGAAGAAATGAATGAAGTCTTTGTTGATTGGTTTCTTATTTACAGAGAAGGACGAGAGGTCGGACTTCCTCGGGATCACAGTATCGAGGAATATATAAAGACGTACACACACAACTACACATAAGCACATATTGCACTCGCATACATACAAACATAACCATATGTGGTAATTTTCTATATTACCTTCGCCTCTCCGATATCGACGATTTTGGTATCGTTGGATTCCTCTCACTCTCCACATTGCAAATATATAGTTTTCAATGCGCGGAAACAAAACAAAACCACCACGTATTCCCGGCAGGCAAGAGCGTTACACAATTATCGTCGATCTCGGAGCGGCGGACGTATTACAATACTTAACATTCCCACTGAATCAGCATACTAACCTTGACATAGTCAGCATTGTATACAGAGACGACTGTAGTTTAATCAGGATGAACAGGGTGTACCATGAACAGAATAGCGCCCTCGTCGGCGGGTTTTGCGCTTCTCTCGATGTTTAGCGATGACCTCAAGTTCGAGTTTCCCGTCCCCTGGAACCACGATTTTCGAATTCCTAACCGAAATAACCGCCGCGTTCAGTACTTCGCCATAGCCGCCGCGATGACCGAGTGTGGAGGGTTCTACTCGGAGACAGATTTCCTGCGCGAGGTAGCAACCAGCCAGGAACAGGTGCTGGAAATGTGCTTCTACTATCAGCGGCATTCATCAATCAGGTTAGTACCTTAAAAATCCTAAGTTATGGTAGGGGTTATCGGCTCCGCATCTAGTTCGTGTTTGCTCTATCCTGCCGTGAATATATGGTGGATATTTTGTTTCCTCGGCAGGGGTTGGGGGTCGCAGGGGGCGCAGCCCCCCTGCAATGGAAAGTCATGTGAATAACCATGGTTATTTTCACTGTGGGTTATATTATTAGGGTAATGTTCTATATTACGTCCGCTGCCCCGACCGCCGCTCCGACATCGTCGCCCCTGCTATCGGGGCCAAGTTTGCCGCTAACGGGGGGTTTCCGCGCAATAAAACCTACATATTTGGATTGTACAGAGAGGAATCCAACGATACCAAATTCGTCGATATCGGAGCGGCGAAGGTAATATAGAAAATTACCCCTTATGTAACTGTTCCCAACAATCATACACATGTGGATTAACTGAAAGGATAGAAAATAACTGTTGTGAATAAATTAACCCACCATTAACAAAATAGACAGAAAGTAATTTATGATAGTTAGCCCAAGAAGGAATAATGAAAGAAAACGTGTGGTAATTCGGTAGGACTAATATAAAACTGAAGTGTCTTTTTCACCGTACGGTAAGCAGTACTACTAGTAACTTAAATAGGAGTGATCTTAGGAGGGGGGAGGGGGGAGATTACGGACTGTGAATAAGCAGTTAATTCCGAATCCAATGGTAAAAAAATTGAGGCCTGCACCTCCGACACATAAAATAATATTGCTGTAATCGCAACAAATTCTTTCTCTGACAACGAAAGGTAATCTTATTAAATTTGCCTCCTTTTCAGCAGCTTACAATTCCTTCAGTAAAAATTATTAGGTACACCTCTAGTAATTCATATAAATACCGTTTACAGTGAGTACTCTGACAATATAAACACACACACAAACATAAATATGTATATATTCTTTCCAAAAATATTCTAACCTGACGTGACGAGGCCGTTGCTCACTTTGTCATGCAGCCAGTCATTCTTTTAGTGAAATTGCCTCCCGAAAAGTAAAATTCTTCTTGACATGACCTTTCTCCATTTCTTTAAACAAATAGTTAAATCTGAATCTTGACATTCGGAGGCACTGAAAGCATCTCTCATGTGTTGGGAAAAATCCGACGCATTTGCACTTTGGTTGATGTACGAAAGAAGGCTTACGTCATCGTTCAGTCCTTTGTAGAGTCCGGGGCCCAGTTCTCAGACGCGCGTTAAAGCGCCGCATCTCCTTAAGGCGCCTTAACTTACGACACGAGCGATTTTACATACACACATACAAAGCAAGGAAACCGCCATATTGGTGCGGGTGAAGGTGCCTTATGTTAGGACAGGGTGTGAGCAGCCTTCAGCGCTTTCCGGCGGGCGGGAAATCAGCTCTCTTCGCTCTTGTATAAGGGAAATACAGCAGGACGATTAAGGCCTCCAGCGCGCCTGAACTTATGGCTCTTTTGAGAGTCCGGCCCCAGTATTCCCCTTCAACAAGCATTTTCTTCGGAGCTTTATGTAGCCACTTCCTTTCCATCTTAGAATTGACTTGCTCCTCTTCGTAGTTATTTCCAGCTTCAGCTCAAGCGCACGAAGGATTTCTTGAAGGATGGGCGGAAATGGATAGCTCTTGGCGGGCGTGACTTGGTGTGATTTGACATGATGAGTATCTCAATGCATGGCGCTGTTGGCGGTGGCGTGACCTGGTGTGGTGTGATGTGGTGGTGTAGTGTGGATCAGCTCGAGCGCGGTACATCGTTCTCTCGACATATCGACACACATATATACGTGTGTGTACAGACACATTTATGTGTGCGTGCATGTAGCTCATATTGAGACAATATAATTAAAATGTATATATTTTGAAATGCAGCCCTCAAACCATGTGTATAAGAATTACAAATATGCCCCCTTTTGTCCCTTTCCCCCCCTTCCCTCAAACCCCTTTAACCCCTCTCCTCTTCCTACATTCCCTTTGACTTCCTCAACCTCCTGCCTCCCCCTCCCACCCTCTCCCTGTGGTTACCTCAGCCCCTCCCTCCTCCCTCCCCCCCCTGTAACCCCTTAACATCCTCCTTCCCCCTCCCTCTTCCCCTCCCTCCTCCCCCCCTAATAGCCCCCCTAACCTCCTCCCTCCCCCTTCCCCCTCCCAACCATCCCCCCGCTTTTAATTCCAATTGATGTAAGATATCTGATACAAATCCTATCTAAGCTTGATAATGATTGCCAAGGTCCAATGTGAGGATTATGATGATTGTTACAAATTGCAACTTGGTCATGGGTGTTTTTGCTCGACTGTGTTTGTTTGTTTGCTTCACTCGATACTTCTCGGGCATCATGTTTATTTGTATATTCAACTGTCATACTGCAAAAAAAAATAGTTTTTTCTTGTGATACATCCATGAAAAAGGAAATCAATATGAAACATTGACATACACCAAAAAATGGTGATTTGAAAAAAAATCTGTCGCACATAAAAGGAATTACATCATAGCAGCAGATTTTTTTTCTTATTATCCCAAGATGTATATTAATATCTTAAGGTTGTTGCAAAGGATGACGTAAGTGTGCAATGGACAGCTGGCTTTGTTGTTTTGCAACGATCATTTATTGCCATTTTTTATCCTTTTGGGATGATCAAATCGAATGCTTGGATCACATATTCATGGCAGTTGATGAATGTGATTATATATATCTAATATATATATATATATATATATATATATGATATATTATATATATATATATATATATATATATATATATATATATATATATATATATATATATATATATATATATATATATATATATATATATATATATACTATCTATCTATTATCCATCATCTATCTATACTATA